GAGCCAGGATTAGAAGAGATCAGTGTTTACCAAGTACAATGCAGGTTTTTCTAGACATGATTATATATAGTTCATGAGATATTTTAATTTCAATTATATTCACCTATCACCACAAAAAAACCCATCAAACCCACTGCCATCAAGTGGCTTGGGACTCATAGCAACCCCCACTGGGTTTCCAAGGCTGTAAATCTTTATAGAGGTAGACTGTCTCATCTTCCTCCCATGGTGCAGCTGGTGGGTTTAATTGCTGACCTGGTTGGCAGCCAAATGCCTTACCCACTGTACCACCAGAGCTCTTTCCTTATCTCCATAACCACTCTTTATTTTCACCACTTGTTTCTTGTACTGTGGTGGCTTGTGAGTTGCTGCGAGCTGGAGGCTGTGCCACTGGTATTGCATGTATTAGCAGGCTCAGCCACGGTGGACAGGTTTCAGTGGAGCTTCCAGACTAAGACAGACTGGGGAGAAGGATGGAGGCCATTCACTTCTGAAAAAACTGGCACCAAAAACGTTAAGCAGTAAAACACTGTCTGATACAGTGCCCAAAGATGAATCCCTTAGGTTGGAAGGCACTCAAAGTATGATGAGGGAAGAGCTGCCTCTTCAATGTAGACTCAACCTTTAATGATGTAGATGGAATAAAGCTGCTGGGACTTTCATTTGCTGAGGGGGCATGAGTCAAAATGGGAACAAACAGCTGCAAATATCCATTAATAATTGGAACATGGAATGTATGAAATATGAATATAGGAAAGTTGTCAAAAATGAAATGAGACACATAAAGATTGATATTCTAGGCATATAGGCCATTTAGAATTAGATAATCATATGGTCTACTATGCTGGGAATGATAAACTGAAGAGGAATGGTGTTGTGTTCATCATTGTCAAAAAGAATGCTTCAAGACCTATCCCGAAATACAATGCTGTCAGTGATAGGATAATATCCATACACCTATAAGGAAGACCAGTTAAGAGTACTATTCAAATTCACACACCAACAACTAAAGCCAAAGATGAAGAAATTGAAGACTTTAACCAACTTCAGCAATCTGAAATTGACCAAACAGGCTATCAAGATGTATTGATTCTTACTGGTGATTAGAAGGTGAAAGTTGGAAACAAAAATCATTGGTAGTTGGAAAATATGGCCTTGGTGATAGAAATGATGCTGGAAATTACATGATAGAATTTTCTAAAACCAATGACTTATTCATTGCAATTATCTTTTTTCAGCAACATAAATAGCAGCTATGCTCATAGACCTCAACGGATGGAATACACAGGAATCAGACTGATTACATGTGTGGAAAGAGGTCATGGAGAAGTTCAGTATCTTCAGCCAAAACAAGGCTAGAAGCTGACTGTTGAACAGACCATCATACACAAGCTCAAACTGCAGTTGAAGATAATTAAATCTATGAGAACCAAAATACAACCTTGATTATTTTCCACCTGAATTTACAGATCATCTGAAGGATAGATTTAATGCACTGAACTCCAGTGACAGAAGACCAGATGAGTTGGGATGACATCAAGAACAATATACATGAAGAAAGGAAAAGGTCATTGAAAAGAACAAAATGGATGTCAGAAGACATGCTGAAACTTGCTGTTTGACAGAGACTAGCTAAAGTGAATGAAATGATGAAATAAAAGAGGTGAACTGAACATTTCAAAGGGCGGCTGGAGAAGACAAAGTATTATAGTGAAATGTCAATGACCTAGAGTTAGAAAACTGCAAGGGAAAAACATGCTCAGCCTTTCTCAACCTGAAAGAACTGAAGAAAAAATTCAAGCCTCGAGTTGCAATCGTGAAAGATTCTATGGGCAAAATGTTAAATGATGCAGGAAGCATCAAAAGAAGATAGAAGGAATACACAGGTCACTGTACCAAAAAGAACTGGTTGATGTTCAGTCACTTCAGGAAGCAGCATACGATCAAGAACCAATGGTACTGAAGGAGGAAGTCCAAGCTGCACTGAAGGAAATGGTGAAAAACAAGGCTCCAGGAATTGACAGAATACCTACCCATTGAGATGTTTCAACAAATGGATACAATACTGGAGGCACTCACCTGTCTATGCCAAGAAATCTGGAAGACAGCTACCTGGCCAACGGACTGGAGAGATCCATATTTATGCCCATCCCAAAGAAAGGTGATTCAACAGGATGTAGAAATTACTGAACAGTATTGTTAATATCACATGTAGGTAAAATTTTGCTGAAGATAATTTAAAAATGGTTGTAACAGTATATTGACAGGGAACTTTCAGAAATGTAAGTTGGATTCAGAAGAGGATGTGGAATGAGGGATATCACTGCTAATGTCAGATGGATCTTGGTGAAAGCAAATAATACCAGAAGGGTGTTTGTGTTTTACTATGTGGAGGCATTAGATGGTGTGGATCATAACAACTTATGGATAACATTGAGAAAAATGGGAATTCTGGAATACTTGATTGTGGTCATGAGGAACTTGTACATAGACCAAGAGGCTGTCATTTTAACAGAACAAGTGGACACTACATGGTTTAAAATCAGGAAAGGTGTATGTCAGGTATCCTTCCACCATACTTACTCAATCTGTATGCTGAGCAGATAATCCAAGAAGCTGGACTATATTAAGGAGAATGCAGCATTAGGATTGGAGGGAGAATCATCAACAACCATTAACATATGCAGATGCTACAACTTTGCTTTCTGAAAGTGAAGATGAAGATCAAAGACTACAGTCTTCAGTGTGGATTATGACTCAACAACAAAAAATCCTCACAAGCGGGCCAATAAGCAACATCACAATAAATGGAGAAAAGACTGAAGCTGTCAGAATTGCATTTTACTTGGATCCACACTCAACACCCATGGAAACAGTCAAGAAATCAGACATCATATTGCATTGGGCAAATCTGCTGCAAGGGACCTCTTTAAAAGTGTTAAGAAGCAAAGATGTCACTTTGAAGATTAAGGTGTACATAACTCAAACCATGTTATTTCCAGTCACCTCAGATGCATGTGAAAGCTAGAAAATGAATAAGAAGACAAGAGCTGATGCCTTTGAATTGTGGTATTGGTGAAGAATACTGAAAATACCATTGACTGCCAGAAGAATGAACAAATCTGTCATGGCAGAAGCGCAGCTGGAATGCTCCTTAGCAACTAGTATGGCCAGATTTTGTCTCGCCTACTTTGGTCATGTTGTCAGAAGGGACCATTCCCTGAAGAATACCAAGCTTGGTAAAGTAGAGGGTCAGTGTAAAAAGTGGAGACCCTCAATGAGACGGATTGATACACTGGCTTCAACGATGGGCTCAAGCATAACAAGAATCGTGAGATGGTACAGCACCGGGCAGTGTTGTGTTCTGTTGTACTCAGGAGGGTCACTGTAAGTGGGAGCCAACTCAGCAGCACCTAACAACAAGAAGAAGTTGTTGGCCATAAGGGGAGCAGTAATCTTTGCTAGAACTGATTCTCTTCATTGGAAGTCAAACAGTGGGACATTGCTCTAGTCTCCCTCACCCTTCCAGATTTTTCAGCAACAGCTTCAAATCCTCTCTGTGCATAGGATAACAGTGTGAGGACTGTGAAAGCTCTCAGCAATGTGGAATACAATGTAAGGTCACAGTATAGGGATGTGTCACGAAAAAGGAGCAGTTGGCACTATTATGTGAGCATGAAAGGGGAAAGGCTTTTTACTGTCATTTGGAAGCTGAACTCTCATGCCCTCATGAGGCCAACGTGCAGAGCCTCGCTGTGGGAGAGAGCATCTCAAACCTATAGAGAGCTGATAAGTCTTCCTTCACACAGGGACCAACAAGGAAGCTCTTCTCAAGCAGGAAATCTGTGGAACAAAGTGTTGCTGACATTTAAAAATCAAACTATTATTGAAAATAGCATTAGCTAGAAAGGGAGGCCAAAGAGTGGAGGTCAGTGTGACAACTTCTTGTCAAAATGGTTTGAGTTGGAGAAAGTAATTCATCAGCTCTCAGAATCTCTAATTCCTCACTGCTAAAACAAGAGGCACAGACTCAATGAGCTTCCAAGTCTATGTAAACCTCCTTCAATTCCTCCAGAAGAGGCTGGGCCTCTAGTGATAAAGATTATTCTCATCTCCAGGAAAGACAGGCACTAAAGCTCTGAAAGGTGACTTTACTACCAACTCACTGTCTGGAAAAGAGACAAACTGCATCATCATGGGTAAGTGACATTTCTTGGTCTACTTCTCATTCAACAAAAGAAACATACAGGCCACGGGTAGAGGTGTTTTTCTTTCAATTTTAAAAAATATTGAGAATCATTCTCTTTCATTTACCATGGCTGGTTTTGCTACAGAAATTGGAAAATAAGGGTTACTTTCTTGGACTTTGCAATTTCTGTAACTGAATCAGTATTTAGTTTATTGGCAAACACACTTTAGAAGGTAAAGGAGCTGTTAGCTTACTCTTTGCAGCCAGCTCTTCTGAGAGCCCCACAACAGTGAGCTAAGGTTAGAGGGGAGAGTAAAACTCACTCTCGATCAATATTTCTCAACTTTTTGCTTACTGGGAGCTTAAAAAATAATAGAAGCACCTGGAGTTTCACTCCCAGGAGAAATTTTGGTTTAACTCATCTGAAGTGTGGACTGGGCATTAATACCATAAAAGCTCTCCCGGTGTTTCCAGTGTGCTAGCCAGGGTTGAGGACCACTGCTCCAGGTCTGGGTGCTCAGACTGTAACGTGCATGTGAAGCACCCAGAGAGCTTGTTAAGACGCAGAGTCTGATTCCGGAGGTCTGTGTGGTGTCTGAGATTCCGCTTGCCTAACAGACTCGCGGTGATGTCCGTGCAAGACTCTGACTTTTGAGATGTCCACATAGTCACCCAAAGCCTATGAATTTTAAGACTATACTGAAAGATTTTCTGGTCACTAGAGATCAGCAGCAAAATAAACGAGAGAGACAAGACCAAAAAGTATACATTTGCTAATAAGGGGAAAGAACAGCCTTTCATGGGCAAAAACTTCTACCACGAACATTTATTTTTGTTAAAGCAGATTATAAATTCTCATCAGTACAAATATATATAACTTACATTTGATTGTAAGGCCAACGTTTAAAAGTAAAAATGAGATGGGATCTCATGTTGTTACCAGAGGTCAAGTGGCTGCAACTGGCAATGGGATTTTTTGCTAACGACACAGAGGGAAACACACACAAAGCTAGTAAAACCAGAATCCCCATCCCTACAAAACTTGGGGAAACAAAAGTTAATGAACAAAACCAAACCCACCAAACTAAGACCAACGTTACAAACTGACACAATAACCTGTATTCCCTTCTGTGGATGTGATCATGTAATTGTCATCTTAGTGTTTAAAAAAGTAAAGGATTAACATGAGGAAAATACATATTCTCTATAGAGCATATTTAGATTGATTTCATTAAAATAATGACAGTAGAATGAATTTCATCATAGGTTTAAAACCAGGACAATACTGCTCTTTCATTTTATTCAAAACTACAACCTAGTGACTGTACTGGTCCTAAGCATGATTGTTGCTGCAATGTGCTACTTACAGTGAATGATTCCAAACAAGCTTAGGGATCCCGTCTGCCACCTTCAACCTTTCCTCTTTTTTTTTTTTTTTTTAACTTCAGTAGGCATCAATGATAAATCAATCTTATGTACAATTTCTTACAGCTAACCCTTTTTTAAAAACCTTTGGCAAGATTACTTACAACTCATACAACTTAATATTGAGAACTATTTAAAATATTCTAAATGCATAAAAATAAAGATTTTGGCTTTTTTGATATATATTTATAATATTTATTTTGTTACTCAAAATGGAAGCTCAACTTTATCCCCAAAATATAGCTCTGCTGGGCAGCTGCTACTGTGCTCTCCTGGGAATCCCGGCAGCACAGCCTGCCACCTTTCTTACCCAGCCTGAGCACAAGCCTCTCTCTGTCCTTGATCGCTAAGATAGGCCAGTACTGAGGAGGCAGGTGAGAGGCCTGAAAAATAAAGGGAGATCGTTTTGCTTCCTGTTGTATCTTATATTCCAGTAAATGTGCTTTGAATACAGATTCCTGTTTATATACTTCTGCCTCTCTGTTTCCAGAGACTTGTAAGGAGATGAGGGAGGAAGAAGGCAGCATTTCCTTGACTTCTTTAGCCTAACTGCAAGGCAGCTCTTCTCTAGGAATGGGTTTCCTCACTTCTTTCAAAATCACCCCTCATTGCACTCTGTGACTGGACTTGTTCCTGTGACCTTGGGGATTAATGAAAAGTATACTGATCAGGAAGACAAAGTCCCCTTTGTGCCTTAGCCCTCCACCATCGCCTAAGTATGAACAAGATATGTAAGCCATAGGACTGCTTAAAGTTCAATTTCAAACGTCTTCTGTAAGTCACTGGAGAAAGGGTTGGTGGGGGATGGGTTAGTACGCTGCTTAGACTTGCTTTCTAACGCAGCCCACTGCACTTCGAAAGGATCCACAGGGCAGGTACCTGCAGGAACCTCCATGTGCTTGTCTCCTGAGGCCAACCTGCCATCGTCTACACCATTGAAAGCTGCAGAACCGTTGAGGTGCTGAGCAGGAGGCTTAAAGAAAGGACTGGTGGTAGCACTGCTCGTCTCGTATTGAGGGAATGTCTGCTGCTTGACCAGGCTGGGTGACTGATGGGGGTGGACAGCCTGCGGATGGCCTGCAGAGCCAAACACGTTAGCTACCATCTGGGAGGGAGTGATGCCCACCACAGGCACCTTAGGGGCTGGATAGGGCATCCCATTGGCCACAGGGTAGGTCTGGGCAGGGACAAAGGCTGGCTGCAGGGGCGGGACCACACCGACTGGCACAGGCTGAGAGGTGAGGAATGTATTCCCTTGGAAAGGTGGTACTGGCTGGGAGATGGCAGTGGGTGGAGGAGGCTGGAGAACGGGCTGCAGTGGGGCAGCTGAGGCCTGGGGCTGCTGAACCCGGACGTTCTTGGACACCTCTTCTAACCAGCGGTCTGCCTCAGAGGGAGTGCGTCTGTGACCAGCCTGGAAGAGACCTGGAGAGGCAGCACCGGAAGACTGACCCCACTCGGTCCCTGGAACCAACAAGATAAAAGAGACAAAAGAATCAGTCACTAGGAGCATCTGTCCTTGTCTTATAACCTTGATTATTTGAATGACCCTAAGATGCAGAACAAGTCTGCCTAATGGGATATTTTGTGCTTCTGGAAGGTGGGAGAAATGTCTCTGAGGAGGTTTCATAGAATCTGTCAGACATGCTGCTGTTTAGCTGAAATGCATCGAACCAGGCAGCTGTCTGGTGTCAGAAGCTCTCCCCACTACTACTGGCTCATCTATAGTCCAGAAATCAGCTTGCACAGGTACAAAAGGGCCTGAGCTATTTCCTCTTTGACTCTCTCAGGGTAAAAATAAAATAATATTATGCTTTAATAATAACCTTGCTGGCCCTTGCCTGGCTTCCAGACACAGGCTGTTTTTATTATTTTAAAACTTCATGTTTTATAGTTAAAAATGTTCACTATAAAAAAAAACTAGAAAGCACAGAAAAGCAAAAACAAAAAGTCTGAAGACTCACTTTTTGTAGGCCTGCCATTGCAGGAGGCAGGGCCCACCTAGGCATGTCCACATATCACCAAATCCAGTGATGAACTCTGGAGGTGGGATGCAGGAATCTACTTTATCAAAGCTTCAGGGTGGTTCTGTTCCATAGTCCCAGTTAAGAACCACCAATCTAACTTTTCTGCCCCTCTCCATCATCTACTCTTAAAAGCAGTTTACTTCCAGGAAGGAACACACCATTTCCTAAAGAGAGTCCTCCTTGATTCCTATTCAGGTAAATGGCTGACTTTAGAACCAGGTCATGTATCTGACCCCAGAATCCTCACCACCATCTGTGGCCACCTTACCCGAACGTGTGGCTGCAATTTCCTTGTTAGCAGCATCAGGGGCATGGGCCCAAGGGTTGGTTTCACGCACAGGCATTGCTACAGGTGCTAGAGCAGTATGGGCTGGCTTAGCAAGTACATGGAAGGCAGAATCAGTGCCATTAGCTACAATGGGAGCAGACAACATCAATGGAGTTAATTCATGCAGGGTGTACTAGTGGCCCCCTGGAGCTGGGTCAGTTTGGCCAAATTGAAATACTGGTATAACAGATAAATAGAAAAACTGGTGTTGGGATAACCATGCCATCTTGCAATGGATATGCATACCTTTTGGCAAAGATGGAATTACAGTCATTAAAATGGCTACACTGATAAAGCCAAATGAGTGTCCTAGGGAAATATGTGTGTTGGGGAGAGGAAATGAAGCCTACCAAATTTCAAATCAAGTTGAACAGAGGTTTTAACAGAAGCAAAGATCTAACTATTCTTAGTTTTAGGTATAATGGAAAGGCATTTCCTCCTCCTATCACTTTTCCAAAAGATCATCTTATGCTAATAATAAAACCCAAAAAAAACAAAAACTCACTGCCCTTGAGTTGAATCGACTCATAGCAACCCCTCCTAGGGTTTCTGAGGCAGTATCTCTATGGAAGTAGATTGGGCAATCTTCTTTCCAAGGAGCGGCTGCCAGCCTTCTGGTTAGCAGCCAAATGCCTTAGGCACTACACCACCAGAGCTCCCACGAATATAAAGGTTTATTTAAAAAATGAGACTCCCTGGAGGAAAAGCATGTAGTAGCTTCCTCCAACAGGAAGTGGGGATCTGTCTCCACATCATAATTTGAATGCCATGGTTCTTTCTCCGAGTTTTTTTTCAAAAGACATGGTGCTCAAATGCTAAAGGAAGACTACTTGAAAAGACTGTAAATTATGTAAACACTTTGCTGACTTCTAAGTTAATACCAACTGTTAACTCAGTATGTCTGAAAACAACAACTTTTAGTATCTCTTCAATACCACACAGGGAAATTTTAGGACATTAGTTGTAGATGATAAAATGAACTAAAGAGCCAAAAGAGGGGGCTTTTCTTTATGCTTATCCTCTTGTGGTGGGATAGAGCCTAGGTGAGCCCAGAGTTTCTCTGTACTATTGATATTTTGGGCTGGATAGTTCTTTGTTGGGGGGCAGACCGTCCTGTGTATCATAGGATGTTTAGCATTATCCTTGGCCTCTACACCCAACTAGATGGAAACAGCACCCTTCCAAAATTGTGATACCCCAAAATATTCCCGGATAATCCCTATGAAGGGCAAAATCCTACCCAGTTGAGAAACACTCCCCTAGAAGACATGACAGTAAGAACCAATGCTGATGACTATTGCTTCTGGGAAACTGGCTGGATAACTACTGACCCTTAACAGACAAGGGACACACAAAGCAGGGCTGGGACTACAGAAGCTCCTTATAGAATGGGATGAAAGAAAAGTATGTACATGCAAAATGATGAATGCTGACATCTCAGGAAGCAAGAATGGGAACAAAGCACAAAGACGTCAAACAAAAATAAATGAGTCTTAAGATTATCAAACAGGGAAATTAATGATCTGACCAGTTCTTGGGACACTCAGGATGCCAAGTTCAGTTAGTAAGCAGTGTAATAAAATTACTGGTTTCAAAGAGAACAGCTAAGGAGGCCAAGAGGGTACCAACCCTGAAAGGCAGGAGACTGTGGTGCCCCCACTGTCACTGGCTTGGTCATTGGAGCGGATGAGAAAGGATCCTCAGAGGGTGTGCTGAAGGCGCTGGTGATCTGCGAGCACAGGGAGCTGATGCTCTCTGCTTCTGCTTCCACCTCTGGCACTGCAAGGCAAACAGACATGGGCTCCAGACACAAACACTGAATGCTCTCAAATACGGAACAGCAGAACGATACCGGTGATAATTTATACTAAATCTCTTGTATGTGGAAGAAAATGTATCAACTCTCAGGTGGGGCTACGAAAAAGAGCTTTAGAGAATCTACTGACCACAAGTTTCATTGGCTTTTTCAGATGGCAAAGTATAAAGTGTCAACAATCCAGTTACTAAGGCATGTCTTCCTCCCTTGAAAATCCCCAAATTTATCTTAAAAGCTAGCAAGCTGCCATCTAGATGCAACGATGGGTCTCTCCTCGTCAAGAGCAAAGAAGAAAGAAGAAAACCAAAATTCATGGAAACAATCAGTCCTAGCGACTGGTACACCATCCAATCTGCATCCTATACAACTATGAGACCAGAAGAACTAGATGGTGCCAGGCTACCACTGTCATCCACTTGGAAGGGATGTAGGAGATCCTGGATAGAGAGGGAGAACAATGTGGAACAAAAAATCATTTGAAGGGGAAAAAAAAAAAAAAAAGATGGTTGGGACCAGGTTTGCTGGTCCAATAGAACCTGGTGCAACCACTGAGACTATGGCCCCTAGCTGCCCTTCAGGTCTGGGATTGAACCCACACCTGTGGTTTCCAGCCAAACAGAGTACAGGCAAGTGAGTTAAACATTTACCTCAAGTAGACACACTCCTTGGAGAGAACAATCATGGGAGAAAGAAGGGCTGCTTATGCACAGGGAGACAGCTCGGGGGGCAGGAGTCCATGGAGTGATGGACACAGGGAAGAGGTAACTATGGGGAGGAAGTGGGAGGGGCATTGTGGTAAACTGTGGTCAATGACATGAGACAAAGTATATGTGAACTGCTGTATGGAAAGTGAATTTGCTCTGTAAATCTTCACCCAAATCACAATAAATAAAAAAAGAAAATCCCCAAATTTATTTCCTCTCCTCAGAGATACTGTTGAGAACTTGGTGTTCTCTTTCTGTGCTAAGATGTTCAGTTAGCTAGACCTTTACAGAAGACATCTGCAATCTGTGTGCCTTCTAACCTATTCTAAGGCTGTGGCCCAAGTTAAGTTCTGTAGCCATTTAGTGATTCTATCAGAAAAATGGGTTAAAGTAAGGGACACCAGTGAGTGTTCAGTGCTTTGCTCTGTAATAAACAGTGACGCTGCCATCACTCTTAAGTTTTCTCCAGGGTCTCTAGTACCAAGTATATGAACTGTGATAACATGATAAAGTGAATTGAGGTCTGGGACTCTAGAGATTGTTCTTAATACTAACTCTGGGATATTTCTCTATTAAGGATGCTGATTATGCATGCTGAATCTCTGTTTGTTCATCTATAAAAAGAGATTAGTAATTTTCACTCCCCACCTGCCCCAGAGGAAGACTGATAATGAGGTCCTTGAAGCCTCCAGTGCTTCAGGTTTATAAGCTGGAAAGACCCTGAGGAATCACCTAGTCCAACTGTTCTCTAGTTTCATTTGTCAAAAGAACTTTAGTCTCTGTACTTATGTCACCACCAGTGAGAATGACCTCTTGAAACAGTGCTTCCTCATACTCTGTTAGAGCAATGGCTCAACAGTTCTCAGAGGGAAGTAAAATCGGGCCATAAAAGCACTGCCCAGACCTTGAAACTTTAGCCCCGGATCTTAGGATGGAGACTAGCTACCAGGGCTGGCTCTGTCCTGAGGCCACACAAAGGCCTGTGTGGCAGTTCTAAAAGGTATGAATTCGTGTGAGCAAGCCCACTGTCTCTGATGAACAACAGATCTTAGATTTACACAGTAGTCCGGTTTAGAGTTTCCTCACTATGGAGCCAACCAGTCCCAAGGACAATGGGGACTTAACCATTTCTTCTGGTACATCTGACAGTAATGCTATTTAACTGTATGTGTTTCTAAAGCCTCTTTAAATAATTCCCTGCTGGGTCCCAAGTGGAAGAATAAGACCGGAAACAAGACTCTCGATATTTGGAAGCAGGCTGGCCAAACTGCTTCCATCAGGACAAACCACAGACCCTGAAGGTCAAGCTAGAAATTCCCGTCATGGCTCCGTCGCCTATTTGTTGAAGAGAAATGAATGATCATATCCCCCTCTATGAACTTCGGTTTGCTTTTACTGGGAAATGACTCAAGATACAACCACCAATCAGCCTCAGGGAGAGAGGAGTGGATAGTTTGACAAAAGCAAATGATAATGCTTCACTGCTAGCGCACCCAGTGAATCTGGCAGCTGCTGCGTTACCTGCATTTTTGATGGGGAAATCAGTCTTCCTCTGCATAGTGGAAGGCAACTCATTAATGCGCAGGGATAGCTGGCGTTTAAAGGGTGACATCTTCTGGCTAAGAGCAGGAAATCCTCGGAAAGAGCCTTGGCGGGCAAGCTGTTCAATCGGTGCGTGCCGACGTGGGATGGCATGAGGATTGCTCATCTCCAGAGAGGCAGTGGCATCCAAAGTGGGAGAGGTAGGAGAGGCTGGAGATGGGGCAGTGTTGCCAGGGGCCACTGATGAACCGCCAACTGCCTTATCTGTTTCAGCTCAAGAAAATCAGGAGAAGGAGAACCTTAGCAATGTCTTCAAATAATTTCTTCATGTAACTGAGCTTACCTACCTGAAGAACTCAAAAACCCTTCTATATCCTTTTATCCATCTCCTTTCCAATGTTTCTAAAAGACAGATTAGAGACCCTCCCAATGAGTTCAAAATATACCCAGCCCATCTTCAGACAGCAGACTCCTGAGTGACTGGAATGCTGTACAGGTGTTTCTGCTATGATGGCATGTGTACCTGAAAAAACCCACATTCTGCAAAGTCACTAAGATTAACAGCTGTGGGAAAAAGAGTCAGGGGCTGACCTCTCAGAATCTATGGACTTTTGTAACAAAAGCACTAAAAAAAACAATACTAATCAAATAAAATGAGTAGCACCATTAAATCTACATCTGCATCTGCACCCAGCTTTACAGTTGGTGGATCCTTTTCAATCCTAAAGCCTGAGACTTCTTTCCTTAAGACGGAATAAAGAAGAGACATCATAGAGCTCAGATACATCTGAAAATTAAATTGAATTCTGTGTCTCAGAATTAAAAATCTGTTCAGATTTTTATTTTTGTAATATCTAAAAGATACTACAAATTTTGTTTTTAAATACTGGACAAAATATCTTTGCAGCTTCTTCAACTACACTCTCTGCTTCCCCAGATCACTTAACATACTGAAAACTGGAAACATTTTTGAAGCTACTTAACTAGGTTAGTAGCTAGTTTGTACTTTGGTAAGATTTTCAGATTTGTTTTTAAGCTCTTCACACATTGCTAAGACTTTCTCTTTGTGAGTAAGCTTGTTTCCAACTAGCTTCAAAATATTAACCTGCTGGGGAGTCTGCATTAAATAACATTGTAGTAGAAGAGTTTGTACCTTTCTTGGCATCTTGGATTTGTTTCATGATTTCCTCTCTTTCTGCTTGTTCGGTGGCTGTTGTGACACGGAATGACCCTTCTCGTGTAAAAGTGGTCCGGCTAGCATCGAACGTAGCAGTCACTCCACACTCCTTCTCCCGCTTCTGCTTTCGTTCTAAGCAGGCTGCAAAAGCACAGCCGACAGCATGGCTCAGCCTCTCACCCTGCGCACAGGAGAAGGTTTTAAAAACTGGTTTAGAGTGACAGGACCAACCATTATAAGTTAGACTGACAGCAGTCTGTTTTTACACAAGGCAAAACAAAATGTTGGGAATTAGAATTAAGTTTTAATATATTAGTACGCCAAATTAATGAAAATGAGTAAAATGCCTTAGGTAATGCTTATGCTGCTTTAGTTATACAAACTGCTGCAGGCCTTGCATAAAGTGATCATCAGCAACCTACGCTGCTAAGAGCAGCCACTGACCTCCTCGTCCTGCAGGCTCCCTCTGTCACATTATCTCTGGCTACCAGCTTAGGAGACACTGTTCAAGGTTCTAGGTCCTCAGTCTTGATCTGCAAGCCTCTATATGCTCTTTAGGGGGAACAGCAGGAATATTTACCAAGCATTTCTAAAAAACTGCTGGAAGGCAGTGTAATTTTAGGAGTATAAGTACACCATTTATAACATATGTCTAGGAAAAAGAGGTACAAACTTAAACTTCTGATAAATAAATAGAACTCAAGGTGAAAAGTCTTTCTGCATGCTCTCCCTTCTAAGAACACTACCCACTGTAGGCCCTCAGTGCTCTCAGGTTTTTCCCCATTCCTTTCTCCATCCTTCTCTAGCTTTCTCTCATCCTCAACTCCACCTCCAGACCACACACACAGGCAAAAGTCAGAGCATGCTTTCATCCATACCCTTTACTTACAAAGCAGTTAAACAGATGAAACTAATCTGCTTGTGTGTAGTAAATACTGCTTTATAGAAACAATGGATTATCTCACAGTAAACTTAAAATGGATTATCTCACAGTAAACTTAATTCAATGGACTATTTTTACTATGGTTATTTGTATTTTAAACCATATTCCTAAAAGTAGAATAAAAAAGTTAAAGACAGTATAATAATTGTTGGCATCAGTAGTGCTGAGAAGAAATATCTGGGAACAGGGATTCTGTGGTATTCTCAAAGACACACCATGCAGGCAGTCACTCCTACACGAACAAGTAATTTCACTGAATTTTATAGCATCAACTACCATAATGTGAGGTAATGTTTGAAGTGCTTTTTGTCTCTAAAATTTTAAAAGACTGAAAACCTTTTGACTGCTTATTTAAGGACTGACAGTCTTATTCTTTATGAAGCCAAACGAGTTTCCTTTTAACTTCTTAGGAGGATGATACAAGGCTAGGTGTCAAAGCATGAAACAGGATGAGAGTATAGGGGAAGATCCTTAGATTCTTAGAAAATCTGAACACAGCTCAATTATAAGGACAGCTGCAAGCAAAAGGAAGCTTATTATTTCTCTAGTCCTAGGGTCAACCCCCACCCCCCAAAATAACAAAACAAACCTACTGCCATTGAATCTACACCAACTCACAGCGAACGCCATTGGGTTTCCAAGGCTGTAAATCTTTACAGAAATAGACTACCTCATCTTCCTCCCACACAGCAGCTGTTGGGTTTGAACTGCTGACCTTTTGGTTAGCAACCAAATACCTCACCCACTATGCCACTAGCGTGGTGGTTCTCAAAGCATGATCTCCCAACTAGCACTAACAGATGACCTGGGAACTTACTGTAAATGCAAATTCTCAAGTCCCACCTCAGACCCAATGAATCAAAAACATTGGAAGGGGGACCCAGCAATCTGTTTAAACAAGCCCTCCATGTAATTTCAAATAAAGTTTAACCAGTGCACTGACACTCTTCTTTAATGGCACAGCCTAATTTAGAGTATCAGCCATCATTTTGCTCTTTGAATTGCAGGGTCACACAAAGGGTATGAACTTGAATAAAAGGATTGAAAATAAGCTAGCTTGACCACTTCTGAGAGCAGCTGCAGCAGCATATACTTGTTAAAAATCTAGTGGAAACTGCTTGACTGAGCCAATCCAGGAAGAGCTTGGCAACTAATGATAGTCATGATGAAATGCATTTTGTTGGACTCACTGTGTCCTTGACAGCCATGAAGCAATGACAGATCCAGCGCCGAGTGGTGCCATCACGACATATGTAAGAGAAGGCTCTATCAAAGTTCCTATCTGGGGCACAGAAAGAAACTTTTTCTATGGTCTGGTCAACTATGAGGTCCTGGAAAAAGGAAAGCACAAAAGAGAAGAGGACTTATGAGGTTATTCAAGCTTATAAGAAACACAGGATGCCCATTCCATAATACAGAATGCCCTTGTCTGTCCTCTAACACAGCTAGGCTATAGTGTAGCTAGATGTGAGGCCAGCAATTTGAATACTCTGAAAAGATCCTAAGAGGGATTCCAACAGGTACTCTACCCAGATACCTTCTTCACCTAATCTACTATTCTAGGACACTTATTTGTTGATTCTAGTTTTGGAAAATCTTTCATGGTAGACTGTACATTATATGTAAATCAATATATTTAATCCAATTTCCACATAACCCGTATTTAATGACATCATTCCCAGGACTGGTTCTATATATTTATTAATTTCTTCTTTTACTTTGAATCTGATTTTATAATATATACTTGCTGGTATAGTTTGCACAAGGGAGTACCACATGGTTTAAAATCAGGAAGGGAGTGTGTCAGGGTTGTATCCTTTCACCACATTTATTCAATCTGCATGCAGAACAAATAATCAGAGAATCTAGACTATATGAAGAAGATATGAAGAAAAATGTGGCATCAGGATTGGAGGAAGACTCACTAACCACCTGTGATACGCAGATGACACAACTTTGAAAGTGAGGATGACTTGAAGCACTTACTGATGAAGATAAAAGACTTCAGTCGGCAGTATGGATTATATTTCAATATAAAGAAAACAAAAATCCTCACAACTGGACCGATAAGCAGCATCATGATAAATGATTAAAGTTGTTAAAGATTTCATATTACTTGGTTCCACAATCAACACCAATGGAAGCAGCAGTCAAGGCATCAGACGATGTATTGCACTGGGCAAATGTGCTACAAAAGACCTCTTTCAAGTGCTGAAGAGAAAAGATGTCTCCTTGAAGACTAAGGTGTGCCAAACTTAAGCCACAGTATTTTCAATCGCTTCAAATGCATGTGAGAGCTGGACAATGAATACGAAGACCGAAGAAGAGTTGATGCTTTTGAGTTGTGGTGTTAGTAAAGAATACTGAAAGTACCATAGGCTGCCCAAAGAACGAACCAATCTGTCCTGGAAAAAGCGCAGCCAGGATGCTCCTTGGAAGCGAGAATGGCCAGACTTTGTCTCACTTACTTTCATCATGTTGTCAAAAGGGGCTATTCCCTGGAGAAGGGTATCATATCAAGGTAGAGTGGAGGGTCAGCGAAAAAGGGGAAGGCCGTCAATGAGATGGACTGACACAGTGGCTGCAATGATGGGCTTAGGTATAGCAAGGATTGTGAGGCTGGTGCAGGACCAGGCAGTGTTTTGTTCTGTTGTACAGAACTATGAGAACTATGATTTGGAGCCGACTTGACGGCACCTAACAACAATCTAGTTTACACAAAATTTTTTTAAAAATCTTGAGGCTTTAAGGCTTTTCATGTAATTTTTTCATGACCTAGAATTTCTATATGCTGAAAACCAAAAAAACCAAACTCACTGCTGTGGAGTTGGCTCTGATTCATAGCGACCCCTCCTTCGTTTTCCCAGGCATTATCACTACAGAAGTAGACTGCCCAATCTTCCTTCTGAGGAGAGGCTGGTGGGTTAGCAGTCAAATGCCTTAGGCACTACACCACCAGAGCTCCCTCTGTGTGCTAAGGTGGGGCTAAAACAATCAAACCAGGGAGTTTTATAAAACCAAAACCAAACCAAACTCACTACTGTAGAGTTGGATCCAACTCATAGCGACCCGTCCGTGGGTTTCCAAGGCTATATCACTACAGAAGTAGATTGCCCCAATTTTCCTTCCGAGCAGTGGCTGGTGGGTTAGAGTTTTATAAAGCATTACTTAAAGGTCCTTTTTGGGTACTTAACAGTATTCTCAGATTCTGTGAAATCAGAGTCTACTATATGGTGATGCAAGGAGCCCTGGTGGCACAGTGGTTAAGTGCTTGACTCTAACCGAAAGGTCAGTGGTTCAAACTTACCGGCCGCTCTGCAGAAGAAAGATACGGCAGTCTGCTTCCATAAAGACTGCAGCCTTGGAAACTCTATGGGATAGTTCTATCCCATCCTACAGGGTTGCTATGAGTCAGAATTGATTCAATGGCAATGGATTTGGTTTTGGTTTATATGGTGGTGCAAGTGGCTTGTGACTGGCTGCTAACCTGAAGGTTAGGGGTTTGAACCTACCTAGTGGCACCTATCTACTTCCATAAAGATTACAGCCAAGAAAACCCTATGGAGCAATTCTACCCTGTGAAACATGGGGTCACCATGAGTCTGAATCAATTTGACGGCAAAAGATTTGGTTTTTACATAGTATATCCTGACTTCACGCTGCTCTTGGTGGTGGTGGTAGTGGCTGAATGCTTAACCATTTGCATTACCCAGGGACTCTCTCTTTAGGCTAAAAGCTGTGAAATGGGGAAAATCACTCAGTGGCATTTCCTTGTACCAAGTATTGACTTCCCACCAGAATCTGCCTGCTTTGGGCTATTCTCTGATGTCTTCAAGTAATTTTTTTATCTTGTCCAGAGTTTATACTTGTTTTTAGGAGGGTCAGTCCAACCGGACCTTACTCAGTCATTCACACACCAACAACTAAAGCCAAAGATGAAGAAATTGAAGACTTTAACCAACTTCAGCAATCTGAAATTGACCAAACAGTCAATCAAGATGTATTGATTCTTACTGGTGATCGGAAGGTGAAAGTTGGAAACAAAAATCATTGGTAGTTGGAAAATATGGCCTTGGTGATAGAAATGATGCTGGAAATCAAGTGATAGAATTTTCTAAGACCAACGACTTATTCATTGCAATTATCTTTTTTCAGCAACATAAACAGCAGCTATGCTCATAGACCTCAATGGATGGAATACACAGGAATCAGATCGATTACATGTGTGGAAAGAGGTCATGGAGAAGTTCAGTATCTTCAGCCAAAACAAGGCTAGGAGGTGACTGTGGAACAGACCATCATTACTGGAAAGTGAAATAATTAAAAAAAAAAAACACACCTTTTTTTCTTCTTAGTAATATAAATTTCATTTTATGTTCAATGACATTTTCCATTAATTATTCAATTAATTTATCCGTTTTTCTGAGAAACGATCCAAGAATTAGATGCTCTAGTGCCACACAGTGGTTAAAGCATTCAGCTGTTAACCACAAGGTTGGCAGTTTGAGCCCACCAGCCACTCCACGGGAGAAACAGGAGTCAGTCTGCTTCTATGAAGATTTACAGCCTTGGAAACTATGTGGCAGCAGTTCTACTCTGTCCTATGGGGTTGCTATGAGTCAGAATCGACTCAATGGCAATGGCTTTGTTATCCAAGAACTACCATAGTTTTTAAAAAATTTTTTATTGTGATTTGGGTGAAAGTTTACAGAGCAAATTTATTTTCCACACAGCAGTTCACACACACACTGTCTCATGACATTAACTGCAGATTTCCACAATGCAACACCTCCTCTCCCACTTCCTCCCCATAGTTACCTCTTCCCTGTGTCCTTCCCTAGCATGCACTCCTGCCACCCCACCTGTCTCCCTGTGCATACACAGCCCTTCTACTCTTCCATGATTGATCTCTCCAAGGAATGTACCTACCTAATGTAAATGTTCAGCTCATATGCCTGTCTTTTGTTTGGCTAGAAGCCACAGGAATGAGTTCAATTCCAGATCTGAAAGGCAGCTAGGGGCCACAGTCTCAGGGGTTCCACCAGGCTCTCAGGTTGGGAAATCTGCTTCCATAGTGATAACCACCTTGGAAACCCAAGCAGGTGTCACTATGAGTCAGGTCCAACTCAAGGGCATATAACAACAACAACAACAACATCTGTGTATGAACCTGTAGATCAATATTTGTTATTACTGATAATGTAGTATTGCGTATGTAAAAGTATTTACCTTTGTTGTCTGTACCACTTGTGCACCCCTGTCTTCATCTTCCTTAGTGTTATTGTGCTGGTCATTAGCTTTTTGTATATTGCTTTTCCCTTCACCTAAATCAACATGTGTCTCTTACCTATCTAGCAATTGTTCCTTCCTTCCCTGGTAACCAACGAATAAAGTTTCCTTCCATGTGTAAACCTTTCCTTGACTTTTTACAATTGTTGTTGTTGTCATTATGTGCCATCGAGTCGGACCTGACTCACAGAGACTCCTCTTTGGGTTTCCGAGGCAGTAACACTACGGAAGTAGATTGCCCCATCTTCCTTTGGAGGAGTGGCTGGTGGGTTTGAACCGCCAGCCTTCTGGTTAGCAGTCAAATGCCTTAGCCACTATGCTACCAGAGCTCCTTTTTTTTTTTTTTTTTTTTACAATAGTGGATTCATACAATATTTGTTCTTCTGTGACTTATTTCACTCAGCATAATGTCTTCTAAGTTCATCCATGTTTTGAGGTGTTTTACAAATTCTTCATTATTCTTTGTTGTTGTTGTTAGGTGCCATCGAGTTGGCTCCAACTCATAGCGACCCTATGCACAACAGAATGAAACACTGCCTGGTCCTGTGTCAGCCTCACAAGTGTTGCATAATATTCCATTGTATATATGTACCCTACTTTGCTACCCATTCATCCACTGATCTGCATTTTGGTTGTTTCCATCTCTTTGCTATTGCGAATAGTGCTGGGGTGAATATGGGTGTGCGAATATCTATTCGCGTCCCAGCTCTCACTTCTTTGGGATATATACATAGTAGTGGGATTGCTGGATCAAATTGTATTTATATTTCCAACTTTTTAAAGAAAATTGCCTAAGGCACTTAATTGATAGATTAAGAAGGCTGGCGGTTCAAACCCACCAACCACTCCTCGGAAGGAAGGTTGGGCAATCTACTTCCGTACTGATACTGCCTCGGAAACCCAAAGAGGGGTTCGCTATGAGTCGGGTCCAACTCTACGGCACATAACAACAACAACATACCATTTTCCACAGTGGTTATACCATTTTACAGATCAACCATCAGTGTATGAGTTCCAATCTCTTCACACCCTCGCCAGGATTTGTTATTTTCTGTTTTGTTGAACTTTTGCTATTGTTGCAGGGATTTGACATAGCTTCTTGTTCGAGGGGCAGGCTACTCAAGTTTTGGCTTCATTTCCATGGTGATTTGTGCAGATCATGGCATGGCTTTATGACAAATGATTCTAACTTATTTTGCTAGTTCCTGCTTCTAGATAAATATAAAGGTGGAATTATAGATCCTAGGAAGGTTGGGCAGTCTACTTCCATAGTGATACTGCCTCGGAAGCCCAAGAGGGGTCGCTATGAGTCGGGTCCGACTCCACGGCACATACAACAACAGGATGACAAGCCACCAATTACTATTATCATGCAATGTGGAAAGAGCTAAACTACTGAATGCCAGTGCTGTAAGTAGCCACCAGGGGGCAACATCACTTCTAACCATGCAGTGTATAAAACACAATCTCCAAGGAAGGACAACACATTTCATTTAAAATACTAATGAAAAATATATTTTCTTAAAAATAAGCTAATTAAGATGATTTTTATATTTAAGACAATTGCTTCTTCTGAACTTAAAAAAAAAAAAAAAAAAGGAGATAATAGATAGTCAAAAGGACTAAAATGCTGCTCCATTAAATCATTAGAACTTTATCAGGCAAGTTACCCGTCAAACTGCTCTTTATCTGCCAGAACTTTTCCCTTCTGATGACATCTGAGTTTGTTTTTTTTTTGTTAAAACTTTTCCTGACTTTAAGTCTTGCAGGAAATTTAAACTAATGATTAAATATACTTATCTATTTGGGATCATTATGAGTTGAATTTGATTCCACAGCACCTAAAAACATCAATAAGGAGCTCTGGTGGCATAGTGCCTAAGGCATTTGACTGCCAACCAGAAGGTTGACAGTTCAAAGCCACCAACCACTCTGCAGAAGGAAGATGAGGAATCTACTTCTGCAAAGATTTACTGCCTTAGAAAACCAAGGGGGCTTGCTATGAGTCAGAATCAACTCAAAGGCAGTGAGTTTGGTTTTGGTTTGAACAACATCAATACTTTATGCTCACTCTGTGTCTTTATCCTTGTTTAGGCATTTAGGATCACATTCTCTTGAATAAAAAAATGCTGCCTATGATTTGAGGATACTGCATGGACTCCACATAATCAAATGAGCCATTTACTAATCCTTAACTTTTGACTTAACTAAGGTTTTCAGTTAAACGGAAGGTTGATCAGTTCAAAATCACTTCCTAAAATACAATGTTTTATTAAGGAACAAGAAGAAATTGCAGAAGTAGGCCATCATTTGCTACATCAAATTTGCAGGGGTGAAAAATTTTCTTAAATATGTAAAAACAAAAATAGAACTCAGATCTTAAGGTAAATGAAAATGCTTACTACATTAACAATGCTGTATCATGTAGAAGAAACTGTTGAGAAAATGCTCTCCTATCTTTCATAAGGTAAGTAAGTCCTAAATTGGTTTTCTGAATGCTAAGTAGTCTCTCAGAAGATTGTACTTTGGACAAAAGGAAAGACTGTGACTACAACAGCTTAATGCCATTATATTTGATCCTGGGATAGAAAAGACATCTACAGTCATAGTTAGGATTATAAAAATCTTACCTTTGTTTTTTCATCCACAACTCTGAGTCCATCTGCTGATACCCATAGGACTGCTTTGACTGCTTTCTTTCCAGTCTTTTAGGAGAAACCAAAAAGTGGGGAGGGGAGAGAGACACATACACATATTTAAAAAAAAAAAAAAAAAGTCATCTTCCACAGAAAAACATTCACTTCTGCCTTCTAAAAGTCACAAGTACAGATGAAGTCCAAGATCAGGAGAGGTGCCCAAAGCCAGATACTCAAACCAAACTGCAGAAACATTCAGGAAAAAAAACAAGCCAAAGCCATTATTTTATAAACACAATGCAAAACAAGATAAAACTAAGTAAAGGGGATGGGACAGATAGAGTCAAAACCAGATATCACATTCCACAAAGAGCAAAGAATTCATGACTAGATTCTTCACCCATTTAAAAAATCAACTAAGAAAACCAAGAGTCAGATAAATATTATACACATAAGGAGTTACACCACAAGTAGCTTCTACAAGCGTGTTTAGAATGGGAAATAATGTGTAAGTCTAAATTGAGATGTTGACTATCCCACTATCCTCTGACCTCAATATGTATAATAGGACCCTTGGTCACCTGAAATTTTCATGTTAAAAAGCCTAAGGAGTCTTCATTATTCCCTTAAAAATCTTTATCAACTATAAACTATTTTCTGGATTAACAAAGAACTGGTTTGGTTTTTAATTTGGCAATAATGGAGATAGTTTGGGGACCTGAGAGGATTAAAAAAACTGTTGGAAAAAGTATTTTTGTTATAACATGACTTTCCTTTTCACTGGGTAAGGAAAAACTTCTTTGGCACACAAGAATCAAATTAGAACAGGTTAGTGTATGATTTCTTCTGTGACGGAATGAAAATGGGGCAGTAGGAGTTTGTAATAGTAATTTAAAGGCTTTTTTTCTTCTCAACTGCTCCAAGAATACAATAGAAATAAAAAGGAAAACAAAAGCTGAGAATAGGTATCAGAACATCCTAAGAAATATATATCAAAAAGAATCTGGTACTAAAGGTTTATGCAACTGCTTCTAGCAGGGACAAAGGAAGATGACAGAAATGCCTATCATTCTCATTTGTATGTTTCCAAGTCCAGAAGTCTCTTACATGAGAGGCATGGCTTTATTTAAATGAACTGTCATGATCCACTCTGGACTTAACCATCTCCACCATTACCGCACATTTGATGAGTGCCTATAATATGCTACACAGTGGACCTACTTGAAGAACTCAGTCCACTGAAAGGTGATATTTAGATTAAAAAAAAAAAAAACAAGTAATAAATACTATAACAGACCTGAAAACAAAGTACAGTGCTGTCAGAAAGTAGGCCTGGGCAAATCTATTTGTGAAATCAGGGAAAGAGATTAAAAAAAGGAAATTAAAATGGGTTCTGAAAAATTTTTCTAGCTGCCCTAGGTGGTAACAGGGAGGCAGAGAAGGGATAAAGGTAGTACACATGCCAGGCAGAAGAAACAGCAGTTTAGGGCAAAGGAGCAAACAACACGGCAAGTGTTGGGCCCTATAAATATTTTGGTATGGGTTGAGAGTAGGATGAGTGCGTAAGCAATGGTGGGAGATAAAGAGTATGAAAGGCTTGGTCATGGAAAGCTCTGTATGTCTGCTAAGGAATTTAATCTGAATTCTGCGAGCAATTAAGAGCTACTGAAGGAAGTAAAGTGATTTGCATTTTTAAGATATTACGTTGGCTGCATTAGCAGGGATTGCAAAGAAGCTGACAGGAGGCAGGAAAACTGTGAGATTCTAGGTGAGACAAAATGGAAGTTGAGCTCTCTTAGCTGAGATTTCACTTATGCTAAGTGAAAAGCTAAGAGATATGGATGGAGAGGGGAAAGTTTTAAATGGTAGAGTTGAAGACTCCTCTCTGGTTCCTAGCTTGGGTAACTGGGTGGAGAAGGGCACCACCAAGATAGGAAGATAGGAGGTGCGAGAGCAAGTTTAAGGGGGAAGAACAGGCTTCCAGTTTGAAACAGGAAACATTTGCGATGTCTTTGCAATATCCAGCTGAACATACAGATCTGAAGTGCAGGAGAGAATTCTAAGATAGAATTCTAGATTTTGGAGACATCAATCATGGGAGAAAATAGAATAAGGAAGCCAGAAATTACAGAAGATGAGTCACAAAAAAAATCACTGCCGTTGAGTCGGATCCGACTTATAGCAACCCCTCCTTGGGTTTCCGAGGCGGCATCACTTCTGAAGTAGATTGCCCAATCTTCCTTCCAAGGAGTGGTTGGCAGGTTTGAACTGCCAGCCTTCTGGTTAGCAGTCAAATGCCTTAGGCACTACACCACTAAGTCCTTGAAATATTAAAAAAGGAATAGCCAGGGTGACAGGAATATCAGGAGAGGGTAGGATCACTGAAACTTAGGGAGAAGGGTTTCAAGAAGTAATGAGTGGTCCAAACTGTCCAGTGTTGCAGAGTAATCAGGTAGGGATGTATGTGAAAAGTGTCCATTGCATTAGCAATGAAAAAGCCACAGAGATGATGGAGGTGGAAGTCAGACTAGAATTGGTTGAGGAGTAAATGAAAGGTACAAAGATTTCATGAGTATTAAATACCATTAAAAAGCTCTATATAAAATGTGGATGAGCCTTGAAAACATAATGCTAAATGAAAGAAGCCAGCCCCCAAAGGTCACATATTGTATGGTTATCGATATAAAATAACCAAAATAGGTAAACTGACACAGAAAGCAGACTGGTTAGGGTCTGGGGTGTGTGTGTGTGAGGGGTTAACGGGAAATAACTGCTTACAATGGGTTACCTTTTGCAGTGATGAAAATCTGATGGAATGAGAACAGAAAATGGATGCAAAACACTGTAAATGAACTAAACTCCAAAACCAAACTCACTGCCATCCAGTCGATTCTGACTCATAGCCATACCCCACTGGGTTTCCGAGGCTAAAGCACTTGACTGCCAACCAGAAGGCTGGCAATTCAAATCCACCAGCCACTCCTCAGAAGGAAGATGGGGCAATCTACTTCCGTAGTGATACTGCCTCGGAAACCCAAAGAGGGGTCGCTATGAGTCGAGTCCAACTCAACAGCACATAACAACAACAACAACAAATCTTCATGGAAGTAGACTGCCCAGTCTTCCTTCGGTGGAAGTGGCTGGTGGGCTTAAGCCATCAACCTTCTGGTTAGCAGTCAAGTGCCTTAGGCATTACGCCACCAGAGCTGTCACTAAACTGCTCAATTTTAAATGACTGGTTTTATTATGTGAATTTCATCTTAATTAAAAAAAAATAACTTTGTTATAAAAGGAAGAAGTGAGTCTATAGGGCAACGGGGGGGGGCAGGCAGAGGATCAAGGGAGGTCTTTAAGAAATGGTACACTAGCACAATATATTAGAAACAGAACGAGGTTTAGAGTAAGACCAATTTGAGACTGAATTCACTGCCACCATTCATAAGCTATAGCCTCCATTCATTCATCTGTAAAATATTTATAGGTAGATAAAAGATTAAAGATTACATATAATATCTGGAATTTAAAGAGAAATAAATAATTGGTAGCCATTTACTAATACTATATTATTTTTATTAAGCTTTTAAAAACTTCTCTGAATAGTAAACCTTCTTGAAAAAGTGACCGAAGGCCAAGTAAAAGAGAAGAGTAATTTAGAGAACCAAGTCCTTCGGAAGACAGGATGGGAAGGGGCTAGAACACACGTTTTAGACAGAAAGAGAGATGGCCCTTCTTCTGAAATGGAGGGATGGAGATGAGGGTGAGTAGAAATGAAAACACATTTGTAAAGGAGAAATGACAAGTTGCACAGGTTAACTCCTGAGAATCACAAATTTCTCTGTGAAGGAGATGACAGTACCTGCTTTATTTTGCTGGTGTTACACTGGGGCTGTTCCAGCCAACTGGGACGTACAGTCACCCCATCAACTACAGTAATTGGCTATATTTAACCAACACTTATATAGCATTTAGTATTTTGCTGGAAGGTAAGTTCCATAACGGCAAGATTTTTTCCAGCTATATACTGTTCACTGCTATATCCCCAGAGCTTAGATCACTGCTTGGCAGAGTGGGAGTTCAAGAAATGGTTGTTGAAGGAATAAATTTGCTAAGTATCTGCCATAGGAAATAGGAGACAGCTGCCCAGTGATATAGAGAACTGGTAAATGGCACTTAAAACCTCACGTAAAAAATTCAAAATCGTGCATATCATCAATCTGGTCCATTGTAGCCTGTAGTGTTCAACTGGGTGCAAAAGAGACAACACATAGGACTACCTCAAGGTTGTGGGTTTGAAGTTAGGGAGGAAAAATAGGTTATTTCAGAATGCAATTGTTCTTCAGTTAATCTCCTTACAATATTCAGAGAAATAATATATCATTTTCTTGGAACAGTTATACTGTTAAGGAAATATTTATACTTTTTAATATGCTTTTTCAATAATCTTTATGGTACTATACTAATGTATCAGTGAGGCATTCCATTTGCTATAGTTCATGGCCCATGACCTCTCTGAATAAGGGAAGAAAATAAGCAATATGAATTCTTCTTGCATTTGTTTGTTTGGATGTCAATTACTGCACATCACTGTCATTTGCCACATTATAGGTACTTCATTCAGATACTGAGATATTAATGCTCAATGATGCCTGTACCTGAAACTAAGCCCAGACTTTCTGCCACAAATTCTATAGTAGCAATACTTCTGCACTATATGCAAATTTCAGAGCCTTAAAATTTTGATCTGCTAAACTAAGATTCCTGAGGATATTTTAGAAAATATTATGAAAGTCATAGAAGATAAAAGTTTTTGCTTTTGTTTTCTCTAAAATATCTACTTAAGCCAGTACTCTAGACCAGGTCAAAGTTAGCTAACCAAAGAGTGGAGAAAAAGATAACTCAGATAAGTATGAGATACAGTTCATCTTAGTGGATAAAACCAAACCTGTTGCTGTCAATGGATTCTGACTCATAGCAACACTATAGGACAGAGTAGAACTGCCCCATAAGGTTTCCAAGGCTGTAAATATTTATGGAAGTAGACTGCCACATTTTTCGCCCAGGGAGCTGCT